TTCAACAAATACATGGGGTTGAAACCTTTTATAAATTATGTGTAATGAATCTCCCAAAAAATAGCAATCATTGTCGAGTAATTAATTAATATTTTACTTTTTCATCAAACTATTTAAATACATTTTCATCGTCATTTAGAATAATATAATATCAATCAAAGTTCAACGGATTCAAAATTGTAGTTCATGCTTATCATGTTAAATCACAACTTAAGAGTGATAAATCACAAATTAAGAGCAATTCAAATGTCTACATCCTAATTTAATTGACAAAGATTGTTTCGTGTAAAGAACTCACCATCCCTCCCAAGAAATAAAAGTCAATCACTCTCTTTTCTTGCAAAAAAGAAAAAATAATAATAAAAGTTAATCACTCTCTTTTCTTGCAAAAATGTATGTACTTTGACAAATTAAATTAGGACATAGTTTGATTAGATAATCAAATCTTTAGCGAATCTTTAAGCCAACTAATCTTTGTCACTATTTTTTGTTAGAGGGGGAAATTCATTTTCTTCGCCCCTAAACTTTGATAAATTGCATCAACTTTCGTCTAAACTTCTAATTTTATCAAATAAAACTCTAAATTTGGATAAGTATTGCAATTTATACTCATTATCTAATTTCCATTAACTAACCCACTAATTTAATGAAAATTAAGTCCAAAGTACAAAATTTTAGAGTTAAATAACTCCACCAAAACTTACAAATTTCAACCAAATAAAACCCACTCTAATGTTGTTTTTTACTTAATTTCATACCAAATATATATTTTATAATTCAACACACATACGAGTATACTTTTATCAACGAATTTTCAAACAAAATCTTATTAGATGGTAAAAATTGCAACAATTTTTAAAGTTAAAGGTTAAGATGCAATTAGATGAGATTAAAAATTTAGACTAAAAATTGATATATCTCCCATAAATGTCAAAATGGATCATTTTCCTATATATATATATATATATATATTTTTCAATCTATGGCACTGGACCCCACCCCCACAACTCAATTGGAGAGTTTGTTAACCTCAACTACAACTCCCAGACACATTATCTATAAAAATATCCCAACTCATTCTTAACTATTTCTAGAGAGGATTCCCAATTGTGGGTAATCTCCACTTCTAAAAAGAGGATGCTAAAGCCTACTAAAATTGTCCCTAGATATCGTGGAAGAGGAGAAACAATTTTTAACTTAGCTGATGCCTGATTGGGCATTGAAGATTTCTTTGATACAATACAGAGTGTATGAATTGAATGAATAAAACATGATCCACAACTTATAACATGTAAAATATTGCAGATATTAAATGGAAACCTTGTGCTAAGCTGAAGAAACCGACATATAAAGCTACCTAAAAAATCTACTCGTCACATAACAACAATCCCAGATGCATTTAACACAAGAAGGTTAGATAGGATGGCAACAGCGAGTTGGACGCGAATTACGGATCACAGGTCTCGTTAACGCCATCAGTTGCATAAGCTCTGCATCTATTCCATAGCTGTGAATGTTTGCAGGTTAAATATGGAGGTTAGGAACTAGGTCTTGAGTTTTATTCTTTCAGATTGTTCAAATTCTTGAAATCTTATCAGAAAGTAACCATTATTTTCAGGCTTCCCATTGTCGAACACTGTTTTTTAAGATAAAACTATGATTATATGTTCAATTAAACAAATCTAACCAACCATCAAAGTTTCCTTACGTCAGCCAACATTTTATCTACCATTTCACAATGTTTGTCCATTTAAGAGGTGGAAAAAGGTAAGCAAATAAAAGTTGCACCTTTTCAACAGCATCTGCTGTGCCCGAGACATCTTGCACTCCTTTCCTTAGGAGATCAATACGGGCTTGAACATGCTGGTTCTGTTCCTCAGCCTAAAAAAGATTTCATTCATAAGAGAACTTGGAAACTTTATTTGTTAAGAAACTGTTAGGTAGAAAGAAAACTCTAGTAGATGAAGTAATTGAAAATCTTTGTAATGACTCTTTGAGAAGCCACATATCAATTAGTTCTGACCATACAACAAAAGACAGCACAGATCATCTTCAGGAACCACAGTGGAATGGAAAGATAAGACAGATAAATTATCAGTAGGTCAGAGATAGCACCACATAGAATGTTAGGTACTCAGAGATATAGAAAATACATGGGAAAAAGAGTACCACGTATAAACACAACCAAGAAACACGAGCAAAAGGACAAGTGTTCCAAATATATTGCGGTTGCCACCAAAAGAAGCTCACACGTTCTGGCCTTGGCAAAGCCTTTTCTCACAAGTGTACCAAAGCAAATGGTACTCTTTAGCCTTTTTACCTAACAGCTAAGATGCATGCTTAGAGATAGAGCAAAGCAAATGCATACCCCATTCATTTCAAATTCCTATCCCAGAAAAAAGATCCATTTAATACAAAACTAATAGTTCATTTCAAATTCCTATCTAGAAAAAAGATCCATTGAATATAAAACTAGTAGTTTTGTTGCAACTTTTTCAGTTCTTCAAAAAGAAAAAGTGGTGATACCTTTAGTTAGATTTAATAATGAAGAAAAGCCTACATTATGTCATTCCACTTAAGTAAATTAAGAATGACAACACCCTCCCCCCACCCCCGAAAAAGTATTATACGTATAAAAACACACACGCCCGCATAAATCATAAAATAAGAGTAACAATGTCAGTTAAGTTGGTTTGGTTTTTAGATGGAGAAGTTCGTGACTATTACAAGTGTTGCTCACCGTTTTCAGCATATCCTTCAAGCGCTGGATCTCATTCTTCTTTGTCATGGACAGATAATTAGCAATATCCATTATATTAGTCCTGCATTTAGACATTGTTATTCGTTTAATCCACCTGAGAAACTCAATCTGTAAAGGCCTAAGGAAGCCCGAGTCTAAAAGCTCTTTTCCATCCAATGTGAAAAGAAAAAGAAGAGGGAAAAAATAATTATACAAAAAGAAAACCAAAAAACTAACATATAACATTAAATGAGACAGTACAAGAAAGGCACTATAGAAAGCATAAGAAGTGTTAAGAAATCTAAAGTTCTAAAAGTATTGACAAAATTTGTACAAGAAAAAGCAAATGCCGTAAGCATATTGTCTTAAAATCTCCGACTCCCCCCTTCCCCATCCGACTAGTTAACATTATAAATGTTATATAAAGTTCTTTTTTTCAGGTAACGTATATGACGATGCTTAGATTCTTCATACAACAAGAACTATAATTGTAACTTCATATCATTGATCCGACTATCAGAAAACCTAACTTGTTTGGACCACTAATTCAGAAAATAACCACACAGCAAAAGATACCTACTTCTTGGAATATAAAGGATCTAGACCTTGTTCTTCCAAAAGTTGTTCAACATTATCAAGTATAGGTCCCACCTGCATAGAGTATTACTGTTACAATGCAAAGCAAATAGTGCCAAAATGAAAGTGGGAGAGTCATCTGCATTGGCACAAAAGACAATCAAACATAATCATTTCAGACTAACCCCCCACAAGCAAAATTTACTCGCAATAAATTTGACAGGAACTTGGATCTTGAGGAGAAAAATGTCATTGCACAGAACGAAACATTACAGTATGTCAATTACTTCTCCTCTCATGTAAGCCGTAACCAATCACCAATTTCCACTATTTTTTTRCATCGCTCATGTTTATTGTCTTCTTTAATTGAAATCCACCATCCCTTATTTGGATAAAGATGTCTGACACATTCAAGACTGTGAAAACTAGTTTAGTTTTTCAAAAACAATATATCATAGTTACAATGAAGGTCCTCTCCATAATCATATTGAACTTGTCCAAGGAATCAGACCCACATATAAAAAATAAGAATGACAGCAAAACCTTTGAAGTGGATCAGATCGTAAGAAAACAATTACAAAATAAAATTATGTCCTACAGGTCTTACCAAAGGAAATCAATAAACAACGGATGACACATCCAAGGTTGCTCGCAACTCACAAGCACGAGCTAATTATTAACATTCAAAGCAATCAACATGGTTGACAAAATTGCAGTTGTCAGAGAGAATGTGATCGATTCTTGCTAATAACATGTTAACAAAGCATAAATAATCACAATAAGTTGACAGAAACAATAGCATTACCTGTGTTTCAATGCACAATGACTCAAACTCGTCCTGTATATTTCAGAAGTGGCAGTGTTATTGACCAGATATTGCAATATGTCAAAAGAGAATTAAGATGAAATGCTGTTCACGACTATGGTAAAAGTTATTCTGAGGCAGGCGAACACTAGTCTATGGCAAGCACCTTGAATCAAGAGATTCCGTGGGTTGCTAGTAGCCCCCGACCAAAGAAAAGCAATTTGCACTCTACTGCAAGTCAATATTCAACATTTTTTTCCTATTTTCGAGTRAAGTTTCTTTTTCCCATTCATTACTCTTAAAAAGACAAGCAACCGAAGCAATTTTATCAAATAAACCTATCTGTGATATGCCTGATCATAATTTTATGTATTCGTATCTAATCAAACAAACTTTGTGTTATCATATATTTCTGTATTTTAGTTACCATACAAAAGGATATTCATTCTATTCTAAATTATGTGTCTCATTTCCAGTACATTCAGTCACATTCCCACGCCATAAGACAAGTAACAAGCTTCTTGTCTTAAAGTGAACCTCGCCTTGTGAAAACACTAGATGAGAGCTTCCACGCTAAACATATCTATAATTATAGATAAAGATCTAGAGGATATAAATACAAGCAACAATTCAGTGACATGATGGTTAAATTTAAGAAATGAGAAGATCCAACTAGAACAATATTATGCATAGAATAAGCACTATGTCATTAAGTGACTTGACGTTCAGAAAAAGGAGAAATAAAATTATCACATTATTAAACAGAAAATCCCAGGAGTTATTTGGATGGACTATGAAGCAAAGCCTCAAATGGAAATATACCTCTATGTTTCCATGCAAAGAAGTTATAACCTGAAAGTTTGATAAACAACAACATTATTCCACTGTCTAAGAAAAGACAGGATTTGCACAGCAACAAAAGTAACAGGAACTGAAGATCTCCAATTAAAATTACGGCATTACACTATGTCCGTATGATACTAATTTGCTCTCACTTTAGCTTTCCTGAGAGGATGGAGGGAAAAATAAAAGAGTAGCACACTTGTACCTGAATGAAAAGACGATGAAGATATTCTTGCTCCGCATTTGTAAATCTCAAAAAGCATTCCCGAAACTCCTAATATATGTAACAAACAAGCACAACTATACAAATTTTAGCGTCTCTTTCAAAAGAATAATAACTAATAAGAAATCTATCATGAGCAAATTGCCACTTGGAACGTAAATTCCCATTATCAATCACCAATTCCACAATTTCCATTATTCTGAAAAGACGATGCCTATGGAACGAAACATTATACCATATATTGGAACTTTCGTGCTTACCTCCCTGGAACAGGAAGTGAGGAGGGAACGAACGGCGAGCTTGAACGACTTTTTCAGATCGAGATGGCTAGAGCTCGCTGGAGTACTAACCTCGTGCTTCTTCTCCATTTCGCAAACGATTGCACAGTTCGATCCCCAACCCTATCTTGCTTCGCTCTACACAAACACAATTCTGCAGAAATGACGCGACGACAATAGGAGAAGAAAACAGGAAGCGGCGGCAAGTGAACGAGTTTCTGAGTTAAGTCCGGCCAGTTCCGGCGAGCAGCGGCGGCGACGATCAAAACTGACGAAGAAATTGAAGTCCGAGAATTCTGAACTACGATTACTGGAGTAAGCGGGAGATTTTTGGAGTTACTTGCTAATAATGTAATACTTTAAAAGTACAGGGTCAATATTGGAAACATTTGAAAAATAAAGGATTAGTACATCACTATTYAGAGAGTATAATTACAATGGTATAAAATTTATGGAAACAACCCATTCAGATGGTATCTATTATCCAATTTACTATTTCTAAAAGGAAAAATATCAAATCTCCAAAATCCTCCATTATTGAAAAAATTCAAAAATTTCATTCCTCCGACTTTTCTTCTTCTTCTATCGTTCTATTTTCGTCCATTCCTTCGTCTTCGACCATCGTCTCCGTTTTTCTTCATAACAATCTATCTAGTTTTTCCTTCGTCTCTGGTTGTCCATCCATTGTTTCCGTTCGTTTATCCCGAGGTTTCTTTTTTGTCACCGGCCGCCCGTCGATCATTTCAGCCTTCCGTTTATCCCGGCCATTGTCTAGTCGCCGACCGGAAGGTTGGTAGGTTATTTGCTTTGTTTGTTAATTGTAGAAGAATATAGTCATATATATTTTATAGTTATATATAAATTATATCTCCGTATAAATGTATGTTATAATAGCTATAGTTTCTATCACCGTTGTTAAGTATATGTTGCTTAAGTTTATAGCAAGATATAGTTTATATTTCTATATAACTGAAAAGGTAGTCGGATATAGTTTATATATATATATATATATATATATAAATAAGTGTATGTTCTAATGGCTATATTATTGAAATTTGGCAAAAAAATGTAATAAAATAAAAAAAATATTTGTAATCAATTTCATTATTTAGTAAAATATATTAAGGAGTAAATTCGAGGATTATGATAATAATTGAATATTTTATAATAAATTTCATTCTTTAGGGAATAATGAGAATGATTGATTTAGGTCCCACAATAATTGAATGTTTACAAAATCAAATTTGGAATATTAATTTTTTACATTTAAATAAAAATCAAATTATAATAAATATAAATACTATAAATAAGGGTAAATTTAAAATTTGAAAAAAATTTTAAATAAAAAAATCTTAAGACCGTAAAATTTGTAAATATTTGGCCATTTGTTAAAATAAATTTACAAAATAACTTATTCAAGACATTATCTCAGAATTAAATCATAAAGGGATTTTATCCGCCAAGCTAACCCAGTGGGCCGACTAGAGTTCCTTACCGAATTCTTTCATGAAAGCTTTCACACAGGACCCGTTTTATAACTTCTTGGATTTTAGTTTTTCTTGTTTTTTATTTTTAGTTTTTTACTTTTAAAAAATAAAAACATAACTCAAATATATTTGATATTTTTTATTTTCTATTTTCAGAAAACCAAAAACCAAAAATCAAATAGCCGTTTAATAACTATTTTTTGATTTTATATTTTTTTAAATAAGATGTATAGAAAATTATTTTCTTAACAAATATATGTCCGGGCCTTAATCTCTTTTAAGTTGGTGTGAATATCTAACATCCTTGTATCTGCTCTTATGACAGTGAGACAAATGTTCAAATATATAAACATGTCCAAAATAAACAAATCCACCATCATTAGTATTCATATTATTCACTCTTAATGTTTACTAATAACTACACGTTCAATCAATAGTACAGATGATCTTCATGGCTGCCTTTTATTCACTTACATTTGATGGCTGCCTTTTATTCACTTACATTTGCTCTCATAATCGTAAATATCAATTCTGAACAAAGAGCAAGGCATCTCATAGAGTATCAAAAAATCGACAAATATTAAAAAAAAAAATTCACTAATATAAACATAATATTCMTAATAAGAAGTTCTAACATATTTAAAAATGGTTGAATATTTATTTTTTAGTTTAACTAATTTTTATGATTTTTTTTAATAAATATCTATCAATATCAATATTTTTATCGACATTTCTATAAAAGTGAAACCTGACATTTCTAGGGAGAGATCTTCAACTTCCAAACAAAGCATAATCATCAAGTCTTAATCTCCCATTTTTTCTCATCCTTATTTTAATTTTCCAAGTTTTCCTCGGAATAATTTCTTACAAAAATAGTCTTGTTTCAAGTTTGTCATATCCAAGATTGTACGCATTTACCTAATTTCCAATCATAGTCAACATCTGTGGTTTGCTTCGCTAAGTAGCGAAAGATTCACACTGTCTTAATGTGTAATTTTCATGAATTTTATTTTTATAATATTGTTATCGTAAATTAAAAGTTTAAATGTATTTTAGTTTCTTTACTTTTTTTTAATCCAAAATCCTATTTTAATTTCTAAACTTTATTGTTTTTTTAATACAATTCTAAACTTTATTGTTGGTTCTATTTTAGTCTTCAAACTTTTAAATATATTTTAACCTCTAAATTTTGTATCAAATTTTAGTTTAGTTTATAGACGTGTGTTTTGTTATTTCTTTTCTGTCTAAATCGACAAATATTTGAAATTAAATTACATAGATAATTATTACCGTTTAAACTATATGGMAATTTATATTAAACAATAAATATAAAATTAACGACACCAATTTTTATTAATTATAGATTAATAAATATGACACATTTTTATTAATAATGTTAACTCATATATATAGAATTCATTTTAATTCATGTATTTTGAAAATGTTAATTTTGATCATTGTACTTCAAATTTTAGTTCATTTTAACCATGGTACTTTGAAAATGTTCATTTTGGTCCCTATATTTTTTAGAAGTGATCATTTTAGTCGCTTCTTATAAATTTTTAACACAAATTTTTCACCCAACGAAAATTGTTTAGTATAAAGTAATGTTTACATTTTAAAAAATATATTGATTTTAATGTCGTGTTGAAATTTAAATTTAAAAAAATGAGATCAAGAATAAAATTAAGGGACCAAAATTGTTGCTTTTTAAAAGTAGATGAAAAAAATGAACATAGGATTAAAATGAACTAAAATTGGAAGTAAGGGATCAAAACAAACATTTTGAAAATATAATAATCAATTTATAATTTAATTAAAAATATATTATTCAATTATTATACCAAAAAATGTTGTGCCAAATAAACTATCCATTATCCAATTCGTGTGCATTTTCCCCGATTTACAATTATGAAAAAATAAAATAAAATAAAACTGTGAACTCGAGATCTCGCGGCCCGTCTTGGGGAGGCGCCATCCACAGGAATACGGCGACCGGGGGAGCTCTCATCCAATGGCGTTCACGCCGCCGGCAACCGGCCACCGGCCGCCGCCGTTCCGACGCTTTTATTTTATCTTCTTCCCTCTCTCTCATTTTGGCTGTGCGCTAGTTTTTCCGGATTCGTCGATCTGAAGGCTCTTCCTCAAGATTGTTACGGCGGAGCCAACGGTTGAGCCTACCGTGACGAGGATCAGAATTGCAGAGGCGACGAATACGCCGGCCTTCACCAAGTAGCACTCGCCGCCTAACCAGCCCGCCGCGTACGGCTGCCGTCTGCTCATACTCGACGCCGCGCTCAGCAACACGATCACCACGGTAAAGCTTGCCCTAGAAAATCAAATCTCGTGTTTGAATTTCACTTCCGATCTGATTCCATTACGATTCGAATAGTGATTTGTGTGTTCCTTTAGAAGAAACCTTTTGTTTTATGATACAATTTTACTTCTGTTTTGTTCTTGAGAAACAACGATCATTCAGAAATTTAGGGGAATAAGAAACAATCTTATTATGTTCTCGAAATCTGACGATTTTCTTTGAAGATTTAGAATCAGTAGATAGAAATGTCATCAAATTCTCAAGAAATTGAATACAAACATGAATGAGATTAGATGATGAGTTCATGAAATCTTTATGAGAGGTTGAAATTGAATATTTATGACCATGGGTAGGTGATTTGAGTGAATTTTTTAGGAACAGTTAAAACAAGATATAAATGAACTACACCTACCAAGAAACAACCAGAAGAATTATGGCTAAATTTGGTCTTTTAGAAGATTGATTGCTGCATTTTTTCTCTCTTGAATTGAACTTGAAACTTCTGCAAAGTAAAATATTCCCAATAACTTGAGCCATAACCAAACACACCAAGGCTGCAACTCCATATCCAAATGCTCGATTTTCTGGCAAATAACACTGCTTCCCATCCAACTTGAGGTCTTTGATCTACCAAAATAAAGATGAAAGTTAGTCAAAACTACCAAATCCTTATTGAACAAAGACTCTGTTTCATGAATTCTATACCTTTGTTCTGTGTAATTCTGCAGCTATACACGAAACAAAGGCGACGAGCGCGAGCGAGACAACTATGGAGAGGGTTAAGGTGTACCCGAGACGGCGTTTTTCCATGGCGGGCTGTGGTGTTTTGTGAAGGAAGAATTTAAAGCACAGAGAAAGGAGTAGCTTGAATGTGACTAAAGAGGAATTGGGAGCTCATGGGGTTGCTTGCTACTTTTGAGTTAGTAGTTGAAATTTTTCTTTCAATTGGCATTTTTTAGTTGCTTGGAAACAGAGATACCAATTTGGTTTGTTTGAGACCAACCTGAATGGAAACTTGGAAAGTGTGGTAGTTTAATTTTTTTTTCTTTTATTATTAGTTTTCTGGGGGTAAAGTTGACTTAGATTTGGCAATTTGGTCAATTTAATTCAATATTGGTACGCTATGTCCAATTGGGATTTTGGATATATGTATGTGATAATGGATGGAGGAAAATTACAAGTTTGAAAGGGAATTTGTGAACTAATTACTTCAACAAAAAAAAAAAAGGAAGAAAAAAAAATTTCAGATTGAATTTTCTAACAGTTCTTCAATTAACTGTTCCATAATTTAACCAAAAACTATATATATATATATATTATGATTTAATGCTTATTTACAATGTTACTAAATCGGGTTAGATTTGCACAATTAAAAACTACGAATAAAATTAATTTTATTCGTTAGAGTCTAAATTTGATAGGTAGATTTTCTAATCATTGTCTATGATTTTGAATTTTTTTTTATGATTTTGATTATCCAATTTCAAGTTACATAAATTCATGATTATCAAACTCACATTAAATATAAATTATACAAATTCCTTATATATTCAAATTTCTCAATCCATGATTCTTTTAGTACAACAAATGTTGAGTACGGAAATTTAAACTTCTTACGCCACAGAATGTCATTTACCGTTGAGTTAGACTCATTAATTAATCACATGACTTAATCTCATAAAAACGACAACTTAGATAAATGGTTAGTTTATCCTTTATTTTCATTCAATTTCTCCTCATGGGAGGAGAGTACTTTGACCTTGCCCTAAAATATTTGTATTTTGCAAGTGAATTTATTTTTAAATCTATGTGTACAAAAATGTATGCATATAACATTAATTGTATATTTTAATTCTACATAGATTTAAAATGTTATTGGTATTTAATTGTTTTACATAAAGTGCTCGGCATAAATAAAAAGATAAATAATATTTTTAGTCTCTTACCCTGTTGTTCCAATTTCTTTTTGATTTTTTACCTTTTGATTTTAAGCTCACACCACAAGCTTGGAATTACAAAAGTTTAACCACATTATTGTTGAGTATCAAAATAGGATTACTTGTTTTCAGCTTCTCAACGAAAATAATGTTTTAAAACTCAGACAAAAATTCATATCTTGTGATTAATAACTTAGATTCTTAAATTATTAAGAAAAGACAATTCATAGGATCAAGATAAAATTTTAGTCTATCTTGTCGTTTAAACCCTCTTATGGTCTTTGTACTAGTTCAACTTTCACATGCTCTTTAACTTGTCTTGATATGTCGTCCAATCCACATACATTCATTTTTCACTTAGCGAGAAGTTCAAACCTTACCTTCACATTTATTGTATAAAAAAAGTCTACTAAATATAAAAAAAAAAGTCTAAATTATTTATATAAAAATTAAAAATCCACTCATTTGCATACTTGAAGTTTCAAATGTGGGAGGGGAGAGACATAGATTCACAATGTGCATGTATTCATCTGTTTGATATATGTAATTTAACTTAATTTAATATATATATATATATATTTTTTTTTTCTTCTTAACATACGATAGAAATGATATTTTTTTTTAAAAATGAGGAAATGGAAATGAGATTTTCTTTTTTGAAACAAAATGGAAATGAAATTGAAGTACTAAAAAACACAACAACGTCTTTAAAAAAAATTGCCTTTTAGATTCCTTTCGTAAATAATAATTATTCTTCCTAGCATTGGGATTAATTGCTAAATTTCTTTTTCTCCAATTCCATTATTAGAAAGACTCTTTTTTCTTTTCTTTTCTTTTCTTTTTATTTCTTTCCCTTTTTTCCTTCGTGATTTTGTAGCTTGATTTTATGGTCACGTTTGTATTTCAATTTCAACAGGGAATTACTTTTAAATTTAGTTTATTCAAAGAATTGCCTTAAAACTATTCTGAAAGGATAATTTCGGACAATTTCTCTTTCTCTAGGTATTTATTGGTTTTGTCAAAAGTTTAATGAGTGTAATTGAATGCGTTGCTTAAAGGATTCGATTTGCATCTTTGGAGTCGTGAAGTGGAGCTACTTTTAAGTTTTAATTTGTGAGCTTACATGTCGTTAAGGATTTAATAATATCATGTGCGGCACATAATTCTAGTTACGTAAATTCATCTATTCTATATATAAAAGAAGCTATAGAGGGAAACTTTAATTCCTATTTTACTTTTTTAATTTAAACATTTTTATACTTATCTTGGGGTCAATTTTAAAAAAATATATATGCAATTCTCTGTCATTCTCTCCTTCTTTTCCTCACACCCACATCCTCAAATTCTCTCTATTTTTTTTATTCTTAGAAGTTAGAATATATATAATTTTGTCTCTTTATTTTTACGAATTAATTAAAAAATTATAACTTATTTTTAATTATCATTAATAAGGAATTTTAAAATTTTGGTAACTTTTTATTTTCTATAACTATATAAAGAGTTAAGAAATATAACTTATTTTTAATTATCATTAATAAGGAATTTTAAAATTTTGGTAACTTTTTATTTTCTATAACTATATAAAGAGTTTTTTCTTACTCTTTCTCTCAACTTTTTCCTCATCAAAACTTGAGCCTTTTTCTCCTTTAATCAATGTCTTTATGTTTTTTTATTAGGTAGATTGTTTGATTTACCATTCAAATTTTAGTTTTTTTTTCCAAATGCAAAGTTAATAATTGTTATTTCAAAGAATATTTGATTAGCTATAATATAATATATAATTTATTAGAACTATGAACTAAATATTCGTAATAAGTTTATGAATATTGGTTTCAAATTGTAAAATCCAAATTACTTAAACTTACTTTTTGAAAGTCATTTTTAAGCTACCTACTTAATTTTACGAGTCATAAACCAACAAAATAAACCTAGACTTGTTAATTCCCTCCCTTTGTTTAGGTCCGCAGTGGTGTGTTCGTTCACGCAGGAGTTATGGCTTTGTTTCTTTAGATGTTTTGGGATTGTTTGGGCCCGTTCTAGAGACTGTAGGGTGATGATGGGGAAGTATTGTTATTCCACCCATTTCGAGACAAATGACGTTTTCTTTGGCAAGCGTGTTTTCTGAGTACTCTATGGGGTATTTGGCAGGAGAGAAACAATAGAATTTTTAGGGGAGTGGAGAGATCTATGGATTATGTGTGGGATCTTATTAGGTTTAACACTTCTCTATGGGGATCAGTCACTAAGGCTTTTTGTAATTATCAGTTAGGAGTCATACTTTTGGATTGGAGCCCGTTTCTCTAGGGTTTCCTTTTGCTAGGCTGTTTTTTTTGTATGCCCTCTTATTGTAGTCTTTATTCATTTATCTAAAAAAAAACATTTCATACGTCTTAGTTGCGAGAACGAGTGGTCTCTTATCTTTAGTCTCACAAAATAAGAAAGACTTTTCAATTATACAATTAAACAAATAAATAGAGACATCAAACTACAAAGAAGAATTAGAGATTTTTTTTCTCTTCGAAGGATAAGATTCTCAATTATGTCCTCCCCTTTTAATTTGTCCCCATCACTAGATATGACATAACTGGTCCAAATTTGTACTTTTCTCTCTTCACTAAAATTCGTTGGACACTAGCTCCATAGCTGCTATTACTAGCCATGCCCATTGTTGTTGAGTAAAGAAGTGGAAGGAAGAAGAAAAGATAGTGACAACTCCTTGTGTTCCCTATATCTTGTTTCACATTATTATACAATGAAGCTTTAGTTCCATGAAAAATTGTTTCGATTAATGGTTGGAGATGCGACTAAGGTATCGTATTTGCTAGATAAGAAGATTATGAATATATAAGTGAGAGACAAACATCTCAATTTAGTATGAACCTTTTTGTGAACAAAAAGTAAAAGTCACGAGAAATTATGTTTAAAGTGAATAATATCGTATTATTTGTAAAATATGTGGAAAAGTCTATTGCTCCAAACAAGTGGTGTTAGAATCTGTCTTTAACTTAGCATATTGGTAGAATCCTTGACACCGAAAGATGTAGTCATGGTGTGATTCATAGTTGACAAGCTCTATCGAATAGGTAGTATGCTCGAGAGAAAAAGAATTGGACAGATGAATGACTATTTGAAGGGAGCTTGATGGTATTTTCGTGGAAGATGAGAAAATGAGTTGACCAGGATAAGAGTTGGACAGATAGATGATTATTTGAAATGAGACTTGATGATACTTTGTCCAAAGAGAGAGAGGATTGTTTTGTTGGGAATACTGAATAAAGAAAATATCACGAATATGTGTGAAGATTAATAAAAATATTTTTAATCTCTTTTTCATACCTCTAACAATTAAGAAAGTGAGAGTGAAGTTGAAACAATGGCCTGAACAATGTCTAAATTCTATCAACAGCTAGGAATTAGCAGTGCAAGTTTGGTATTTTGCTTTACAAGAAAACAAAAGTTGAGAGTGGGCAAGATTCCCTGAGAACCAAACTAAACTATTAGCACACAAAATTCTGCTATCCAATTCCAAACAGGATTTTGTATTTGTTTTTTAGGTTCAGAATTCAAATGCTTTGGAGGCAGGAAAGGTAGAGATACCAAAACCTTCCCCTCCAATTGAAACTTGGAATTCCCCCAAAAACCTCAATTGCGAAAACCTAAAATTATATAGCCTCTACGAAACCTCAATTGCAAAAGCCGATTCAAAATTAGAAAACTCACAATTTCAAAATTGCTGCAGAGATTAATCCTGCCGGATGTTGACGGCCTCAAATCCCCAATCTCCGAGCCCCAAATGCCACCGAGATTGATCTCCGACGCAAAGCGCCGCACTCACCCGCTCGTCTGGTTCGCCGCCGTCCTCTGCACCATTCTATCGATCGCCGTCATAATCGGAGGCATCGTCGTGTTCGTCGGCTACCTAGTGATCCACCCTAGGATTCCGACGATCAGCGTCATCGGCGCGCATCTGGACGGCTTCCAGATTGACGTCGCCGGCCGGCTCGAAGTCCAGTTGACGATCGTCGTCGAGGCGGAGAATGACAACGCCAAAGCGCACGCTAGCTTCTCCGATACCAGCTTCTTCCTCAGCTTCCTAGGGATCAGAATCGCGCGGCTAGTGGCCGATCCGTTCGCTGTGAGGAAGAACAGCTCTCACAAGTTCCAGTACGCCATCGCTTCGTCGTCGATTCCGCTGAATCCGGAGCAGATGGAGGAAGCGGATTACGCTCTGAAATCGGACCTGAGTCGGTTCGATTTGAAAGGGAATACGAGAGTTCAATGGCGAGTTGGAATGCTCGGATCTGTGAAATACTGGTGCCATCTCCATTGCGAGCTCAAATTCCATCCCTCTAATGGAACCTATTTGAGTTTGCCTTGTAGCTCCAAGGCGAAATGATTTCTCTGTTTAGGATCCATTTTTCGTTCTCTTTCCCCTTTTGAAACAGATTTCTGTTAGCCAAAAATAAATTTTTTAAAAATAAATTTCATGAGAAATTTTCGTTCCGTTTCTTTGAAAATTATGAATTATTCATCATGTTATGTGTAAAGAGAAAATTGTTAAGGCCTTTGATTCTAGAGGAACTAATTTTTTACTTTCCAAAAGAATTATCAAAGTTTTACTTTCTATCATATATCACTTAGTCGTGTTCCATTTAATAATTTTGAAGTTAAACATTGATTGGTCGACTGAATTTTAGTTGCATTATTTAGTTCAATTGTGATTGATTTAGAGTTTCATATATCTATAGGTTCGATATAAAAAATATTGAAGTATCGCAAAAAAGTTAGACAAAATATAAAAAACATCATTGTTGATATGAACATAATTAATATTAAATAAATTTTAACTTATTTAAATGGAGTGAAAATGTTTATTGTGTTATTTTAAATATTTATTATGAATTTATTTTTATAAATTTTTTTTCGACATTAACAGTTTTTATCAATATTTTTATTACATTTTCATAAAATTAAAACTTCCATGTTTTCSTGGCGGCAGAATGGATTCAATCTATATTTGTTTTTTTATTTTTTCCGTAATTGATATTTTTTTCTACATCCGATTTATATAAGTTAACGGTTCGTTTACATTTCTATTCAAGACTCTATAGTTTCTATTTTCTAAGTTGGTCTAATTGTCCTTTTTGCTTTCACCCTAAACATTTTTTTGTTAAAAAGTTGAACTATCTTTAATATTTAGGTAAAAAGTTAAACTTTCTTTTTCATAAATAACCTTAGGTTGATTTATGAGTATAATAATAGAATACTAAAAAATTAAGCTTATAATAATAAATAATGAGTTTCATCCATTGATGAATCAACTTAGGTCCCTCTTTAAATTGAATCAAAGTGGTGGTCAGATCAATTATTTCTTAACATAACGAGGGAGGGTTGTACACGAGTCGAGTAACAACGTAGGTGCACGAGAGTATAAATAAGTACATACTTCGTGTCACAACCATCTCTTTTTTATAGTATCTACAGACCGATACCTGCTACTTCATCTGGAAGAAAAAAAATCAATGATATATACCGGTCATTTAGAAGGAAGAACCTCCATAAAAAGATTAACTAATGGAGATGTTATCCCTCACATAAATACTCGTGATCTTCTCGGTAATCAATGTTGGACTTTGTTTGCACTATTTACAAGTCCAACGGTATTTTACCAAAACTTTAATATCGATATCGAACCCTTTAATTCGTCGACCTCATTTAGCTAGCTTGGCCTCCATTTAATTCCTAGCTTGATTTGTTATCTGCAATTGGATGCTACAGACTGGAGGTTGGAGAGCTTTTGGGAAGCTCGTAAATTTGGGGACCATATAAATATGCTTTTCTTCTCCATTATACCCTTCCCTTTTTTGAGGTTTGGCAATTGGAAACTGGAAAGCTTCGTTTGTTCCTTTACAGAAAACAACCTACAATAATTACAAAGTGTGGTAGTACAATCACTTTCATTTGGTTTCAGACATTTTTTTTTCTTAGATATCAAAACTTTCTTTTTCTATTTTTTTATGTTACAGCAGTGCAATAAACATAAATAACAAATTTTGAGTAAGGGTTAGGTTCGATTATTTAATTCGAGTAGGGTTTGTTGGATTTCTTCATTGGGTAAAGTTGATATTTATTATATTCAAAAGATGTCAACTTATATAGAGGAAGTGTTAGGAGTGAAAACCAAAAATCATACCCTTGTGGCCCTCTTGTCTCAAGACATGTCGAGGACTAGGAGGAACTAGTCAATGTCTTGACCAGTAGAACTCAGCTCGAATCTGTTGAAGATATTCGACACACAATTATTTCTTACATTTAATTGAGTTTTAACTTACATGTAGCTCATTAACTCATGTTAGAGTTCACCTCGAATTATTTGTCTGACGTGTCACTTCGACAGAATCTTGTATCAAAATAAAATTGAGTAATTAATTTTATCCATTAGACTTCAAAATATCATCCTTTTGTTCATTGAGTGATCACTTGAGTGGATCATATTTTTTATAATTTAAAGGTAAAATTAAAATTTTTTACAACATTTAAAATAGAATTGAAAATGACATGGATTTTTGAGATCCAATCATATTTTTAGTGTTAAGAAAAGATAGAACTTTGAGTATCAGTATATTTAGTTCATCAACTTTATATTATGTTTTGATTTAATTTCTATCGTTAATGTCATTAAAAACTGCTCACACCGCAAAAGTCTATTAATTTTTTTTATTGATTCGGGTGACATATAGCCCAGTAGGTTAATAAAATATATCCAAGTGTTCTAGTTGATGATATTAATTGTAGAGTAAATGTGAGTTTTTTATGACTTTAAGAAAACGTGTTTTTGAGTGAAATACTTTTTATAAGTGTTTTTAAATTTTTTTATTATAGCGTGTCTACAATGCCTTTTAAAGCTATCAACAACTAAAAGTTTTCTTAAAAAAAATATAGTATCTGGTTAAAATTTTAAAAAGGAGTAAAAAGAAATTTTTAAGTTACCAATTAAAAATATTTTAGAAATTTTAATATAGATAAAAAAGTACAAGCACTTCATTAATTTTCTTCCCAAAGTACATAGTGTTTCAAAACAATTTAAAACAGTTCCAAATAAAAAAAAAAATCATTTTAGAATTTTCACTCCATATATTGTACTAAAAAAACCACTTTTAGTTATCATTAAACATTTTGAAATCTTTTTAAAATGCAATTAATTGATTGAAAGTACTTTTCACACCACACCAACGAACTAACTTTCTTTTAAATAAAACCATTATCTAAAATTCATGGCATAATTTAAAAAATTTTATATTTAAAAGACAGAATAGACATTATGCTAAAAATTCAAGGACTATTATTTTATTATTATTATTGTTTAGTTTTTAGGGAGCCAATTTAATTGACAATTTGTGTGGATAGGAGAATTGGATTAGTCCCTGTTTTGGCTATGCAAAAATTAACGATTTAATTTTTGCCACTTGTCACTAAGGCCATGGGATGAAATTGAAGCACAAAACGACAAAACATGCTGGGTTTTGGTTCTATATGCAATAACTTTCTTTGGGACCCTTTTTCTTTTTCTTTTTGACAAAGAAAATCACCAAACTTCCCTCCACAAAATGATTTTTTGGTTTCAAATCACAAAGTCCAAAGTGGAATCAATTAAAGTTTTGGGCATCCTGATTTCAAGAAAGAAAACAAAAATGAGATACAAAGCACTTAGAATTTTGTTTCCATCTAAGTCGAAATGGAGATGGATTTGAACTTATGAGAATTACGACGCACTAGACCATAGCTCTTGTCACGTGTAGGGTATTGTGAGCCTATCTTTAGAATAATTGATTCGTTATCGATATCGTTAGGCTAGTGCGACTCAATAGACAGCTCGACGCCTATTTTCAAAAAGATTTATATCTAACATTAATTACGCCAGAAATGATAATTAATGAACTTGATAAAAAAAAATTTTGAGTACAAAATATTGGGAAGCGGATTCGAACTCGCAACCTTTTGGTTGAAGATATATATCAATTACTGCTGAGCTATGCTCGTTTTGACTTTTCTTGATTGAGTTTAAGTATAATAATATATAACTTCTATTAAAAATAGCCCTTAAACAATTATAAAATTGAAAGTAAAATATCCCAACGCCTACTTTTAAGATTATATGATTAAATAATTGATAATACGAATGTATATACTTTTTCAAAAAGATTTAACATCTCTACCATTAATTATGCTATCAATGATCATGTGATAAATAAATGATCATGTGATAAAATAATAGAAGGGTGGGTTCGAGGATATAAGACTAAGTAAAAATTTAAGTCTTGTTGGGAGTTGGAGAACTATTTTGAAAAATAACTTTTCGTCCAAAAAAGGTAAAAGTATATGTTTATTAAGCTTTTTTATTTAAGAGAAAAAATTGTTTTGCTTGTTCGGATGATGTCTTTTCAGGGGAAAAGGGTTATTTTTAATTCCACAATTTTGTAACTTTTAGAAGATATACAAAACAGCCCCTAAAAACAATTGAAAAAATAAAAGAAAAAATTTGTTGTTGTTTTTTATTATTCTTCCAAGATAACTTGGCAAAAATCTATATTTTATGAGATAGCTTATGAAAAATCTATATTCTTCTAATACAAGTAGGGAGGATTCAAACTTGTGATCTTAACGTGTCAATTAATTTTTTTTTTTGGACATAAGTTAGAGTCTAAATCCACACCTCATTTATTATACTAAAAAAGTCTCAAGTTTTAGGACTAAATAATTGATATTATAGATATATAATATTTTTCAAAAAGATTTAATGTATCTAACATTAATTACACCATAAATGAAAATTAATGAATTCGATAAAATAACAAAAGGGTGGATTTTTGAGGATATAGTACAGTAAAAATTAAGGGTTGCTGGACAACTATTTCTAAGCTATTTTATTTAAGACAAAAAAAAAATGTTTTTCTTATTATCTTCTAGTTTATTTACATGGATGGTGTACTTTTAGGGGGAAAAAGGGTGATTTTATTTCACAATTTGTATTTATTGATTTAGAGATACAAAGTAGCCCTTAAAAACAATTACAAAAATAAAAGAAAGAATTTGTAGTTTTTTTATGGTTAAAAAATAGTTTTGCTCCTGGTATTTAACAAAGTAACAATTTAGTTCCTAAAACTTTAATTTCTAATGATCTAACCTATATACTTTCAAATTGATAACAATTTAATCCATCAACTTTAGTATATAACAACTTAGATCTTATAATTTAAAATTTGTAACAATTTAGTCTTATAGTGGAAAATCTTATCAAAATTAAATGTCTTTATTATGTAACGATTTAGTCTTTGTAATCAATACACACATTCAGCCATTCATCAATTTATTGATCTCCCTACATAAGAAACCTTAAAGGTTAATAACATTTCTAACAATAGGGACAAAATTGTAAAAAAATTGAAAATACAAAAACTATTGTTACATAATAAAGTTAATCGTATCAATAGTGTTTTTTTTTATTAATTTTATTTTT